ACATTTCCTTGCCAGCCTTTCCATGTGGGACCTGTTATCTTCCACTCCAGGCTACCTTTGAATGTTTGAGTGGTGCTTTTTGTCCACTTTTCTGTCTTCTAGGACGTGTTTATGGGAGAGGGCGGAGAGCTTTGCTGGGGTTGCGTACAAAAACTTGGGCTTCATTCTCTCCAGTCAGGGATAGAATTCCACTCCTGTGGGCTTTGCCTTATTCCACCATCTCAGCATGGTGGCATGCCTTGTATTCTTTCCTACCTGTGCTGAGAACCTGTGTGTATACGTCCAAGTTTATTTACTCATTACCATATTGATGGTCATTTAGGTTTAGTCCATATAAGACTTTAGCAGTCATCCTTGTGCATTTATCTTTACGTGCTCATGCTATTATTTCTGAAGAGTAGGTTACTAGAATTAGTATTGTGGAGGTCAAAGGACATCTCTTGTAGAAAATATACCAGTTAACATACCCAAGAACCTGTGTAAGAGTGCCCATTGCTGAATAGTCAAATCCATAGAAACAGAAGTTAGATTAGTGGTTCCCAGGGGTGGGGGGAATGGACAATGACTGCCATTGGGCACAGGGTTTCTTTCCGAGGGATAAAAATGTTCTGAAGTTATTCTATAGTGGTGATGGTTGCAGAACTCTGTGAATATACTAAAAACCACTGAAGTATACTTTTGAAGAGTGAATCTTATGGTATATGAATGATATCTCAATAAAGCTGTTGTTTAAAAAAAAATACCTCTTTTCCCTTAACCTTGCAATGTACTGCATATTACTAATTTTTTAAGTAATTGCGTATCATCATTATTTTAATTTAAATTTCCATATTAGTGAGATCAAGTGTCTTTTCATATATTTATTGACTATTGGTAGTTCTTCTCTGAATAGCTTTTTATTATATACTTTTTTGTGTGTGGGAGCTCTTTGTAAACCGGGAATATTGATTAACACTTTGTTACCTGTTTCAAATATTTCATCCCGCTTTATCATAGTCTATTTATGGTGTCTTGTGATGTGGAATTAAAGAATTTTTTTAAAATGTAGTCAAATTTGTCCATTTTTTTCTTTATTTATGGCTTCTGAATTTTATATCTTGCTTAGGAAGCTTCCTGACCAGGTTATAAAAATATTTTTTAGTTCTTCAGACACTTCTGTGGATTTTTAAACTGGACTTTAGTTCATCTGAGGTTGATTTTTATATAGGGTATGAAGGAGGAATGTAGCTTAATTTTTCCCAAATGGATAGCCGATATCATGGAGGGCCTTCAGGCCCCAGTAAGGAGTTTAGATTTTATTCTGAGTGTGATGGGAAGCCATAGGGTTTTGAGCAGGGGAATAAGTTTTAAAAAGTTTCCAAAAGATTATTCTGATAGCTAGGTGAAGAATTGATGGTTGGTGGCAAAAGTAGATATAGAAAGACTGGTATTCCATTTATCTGAATCTTTTCTGAGTTTGTCATCTTCTCCATCGATCTGTTTGTTCCTGTGTCAGTGCCGTAGAAGTTTTTTGTTCTTTTTTTCGTAACAGCTTTATTGAGATATAATTCACATGCCATATATGATCCATCCATTTGACGTATAAAATGGTTTTTAGTATATTCACAGAGTTGTGTAGCCATTACCACAATTAATTTTGGCAAAAATAAACCCTGTACTCTTTAGCTGTCACCCCCAAACTCCCCATCCTCCCCAGCCCTAGACAACCACTAATCTACTTTTGTCTCTAGATTTGCTTATTCTGGACATTTCATATAAGTGAAGTCATGTAATACATGATCCCTTGTGACTGGCCTCTGTCACTTAGCGAAATGTTTTCAAGGTTCATCCATGTTGTAGCGTGTATCAGCACTGCGTTCGTTTTTATGGCCAAATTATGTTCCTTTGCGTGGATGTGTCACGTTTTGTTTATCCATTTGTTTGAACATTTAGGTTGTTTCTGCCTTTTTGCTGTTTATGAATAATGCTGTGGACATTTGCATATAAGTTTTTGTGTGGACATGTTTCCATTTATTATATATATCTATCTAGGAGTGGAATTGTGGGTCAAATGGTAACTTCATGGTTAAATTTTTGAGAAACTACCAGACTGTTTTCCAAAGTGCCTACACCAATTTACATATCCACTAGCAATGTATGATGGTTCTAGTTTCTCCACATCCTCACCAACACAGATAATTACTTCTGCCATAGTGTTTTTGGTTAAAGTATCATCTGTAGAATATTTTAGTAACTTATAGGTGATATCTTCTTTTATTCCCCCCTCCAAATATTTTTAACACTTTTATGTGTATTCTTCCATATAAATTCTAGAGTTATATAGTCAAGTTCAAAAAAACAAACAAAAGCCTTGTTGGAATGCAAAGAATTGCATTAAATTTATATAGTATTTGGTACTAAGTCTTTCATTCAAGAATATGATATGTGAATGCCATCATCTAGCTTCAAATTATCACCTGGTATCCAATCTTGTTTTATCTATATGACTCCCTCATCCACCCTCCTCTATAATTTTTGTGTGTGTGTGTGTGAGGAATATTGGCCCTGGGCTAACATCTGTGCCCATCTTCTCTACTTTATATGGGACGCCGCCACAGCATGGGTTGACAAGTGGTGCGTCGGTCCACGCCCGGGATCCGAACCTGCAAACCTCAGGCCGCCGAAGCAGAGCGTGTGAACTTAACCGCTACCCCACTGGGCCATCCCTGACCCTCCTCTATAATTTTGAAGCAAATCTCAGACATCATATTATTTCATCCATAAATATCTTAGTATATATATCTTTAAAAGATAAGAGCTCTTTTGGGCCGGCCCTGTGGCTTGGTGGTTAAGTGCACGCGCTGCAATCCTGGTGGCCCGGGTTCGGATCCCGGGTGCGCATCGAGGCACCACTTCTCCGTCCATCCTGAGGCCGAGTCCCACATACAGCAACTAGAAGGATGTTCAGCTATGACATACAACTATCTACTGGGGCTTTGGGGGGAAAAAATAAAAAAAATAAAAAATTTTTAAAAAAAAAAAAAAAAGATAAGAGCTCTTTTAAAAAAGTACTGTTTTTACGCCTAAAATATCAAATATCCTATCAGCGTTCAGTTTCCAATTATTTGTCTGTGTCTGTGTGTGTGTAAATAATTTATCTGAATCAGGATCCAGAGTCAAGTTCACACTATAGTAGGTTGATAGTTCTTTTAAGTCTCTTTGAATCTGTAGATTCCTCTTCCACATCTTTTTCCTCCCTTACTGTTAATTGTTGAAGAAACCAGGTCAGGGGCCGGCCCGGTGGCATAGTGGTTAAGTTTGTGTGCTCCACTTTGGGGGCCCAGGGTTCACAGGTTCAGATCCCGGGCACAAACCTAGGCAACTGCTTATCAAACCATGTTGTGGCAGGTGTTCCACATATAAAGTAGAGGAAGATGGGCACGGATGTTAGCCCAGGGCCAATCTTCCTCAGCAAAAAGAGGAGGATTGGTAACAGATGTTAGCTCAAGGCTAATCTTCCTCACAAAAAAAAAAAAAATGAAGAAACCAGGTCATTTGTTCTTTGTCTTCATGTAGTTTCCCACAGTCTGGATTTTGCTGATTGTATCCCTATAAAGTCATGATGTGTCCTTGTCATCTGTGTTTTCTGTAAGTTAGTATTGGTGTATTCTTTTGATGTGCTGCTGGATTCATCTTGCTAATATTTTATTTAGGGTATATATTACAAGATAAAATTAGTGGATTTTTTTTAGTGTGTTTTCTCCTAGGTTTTGGTATTAGGGTAATGCTAAATAATTGATGACTTCCATTTTTCTATGTTCTAGAGTAATTTGGATAATTTTGGAAGGTAGTTAAATATCCACCACTAAATATCAGTTTTTATAGGGAATCTGTATCTTAATTTTCAGGAACAAATATTTTCAAGCTTATTTTATTGACATAATATAACCTTCATATGAAAACCTGATAAAAGAAGCACAGACTGATCAATTGGATGTCAAAATACAGCACTCAGACCATTTAAAGAATACAACACGATGAAGTTGGGTTTATTATTGCTTAAATATTGCTCCAAACCATCCACTTTTTTAAAGTCTCTATTGCCATTACCCTAATTCAGGCCACCATCAGTTACTCTCTTCTGTTGGTCTCCCTGCCTCCAGTTGTGTTCCCCTCCAATTCCTTCTTCATGTTGCAGTTCTCTTTAAAATACCATCCTGATGGTGATGTTCTTATTCAAGTGTGTATTGAGTAACAGCTATGGCCCAGCTGTGCATTAAGCACTGGAGGATACCTGCATTCATTAAAAGTACAGTCTAGTAGGAGAAACAGATAATGTCAAATAATGAATACATACTTAAAAATGTGATATATATATAAATGAATAAATAATCAAATAATGAACATACAATTAAACTATATATCAGTTAAACCTGAGAGAAGTGATCTGAAGGAAAGAAATCGTGGCTATAGAAAAGGGTATAACAGAAGGCTTGGGAAAGGTTGTTATTATTGGCCTAAGGTCCTTGGGAAGTTATTGAAAGGTTTTAATCAGAGTTAAAGATAGGTCAAAAAACTGTCAGTTCTTAGATAATAATTACATTTTAAAAATATCTACAGTCATATTGGTTTTCACTAGGAAAAGGTAATTGTTTAGATAAGTATGTTTCTGAAAATAGATCATCTCTTGTTGTGCCACATATTCTTGTGTTTAATAATCTAAATTCTTATCATGTCGTTTGCTCCTTGAAGATATGGTATGCAATAAAAGCAATGCATTTTAATTAAGGGACTCAATGAGAAATGAAAACCCTGCAGTCATAAAAAGCCTTGATAATGATGCAGTGAAAGATTAAGGGAAATATTTATATTTCTCAAGTTATTTAGTAATGAAAAACAGTTGACAAAGGGAAATAGTTTTATCAAAATGATTAATAGGGGAAAGCTTTTTAAGTAGCTTGTCATTTGAAGGGCTTCTGAATTATTTTTTCTAACTTGTTTCTGTTCCTTTGCCTTTGTAGGAAAGTAGTTATTTTGATGGAGTTAGAAGTTTTGAAATCAGCTGAAGCAGTTGGATTAAAGATTGGCAATCCAATGCCCTATAATGAAGGTAAAATGCTTTTTATAGGTTGTAGTACTCAATTGAAAATCTCTTTATAGATCCCGAATTCTACCTTTTGGATTCAGTTTGATTTGTTAGTCTTACTAAAAGTAGTGATTTTGGGGGTCTAGGAACCAGGTTATTCTTTCAGTTTTTTCAATACTGAAGAAATTGATGGTAGCTCTCTGTAAAGGAAAAAACTCTCCTCTGTTTTTTTCTACATACAACAGTCATACTTCTAGCTCTTCTGTGACTAGAAGTGTGGGATTTTTTTTCCCCATACCAAGCAATTCTCATATTTTCTGTGGACACCAGCTGGGTGTCCCACAGTTCAGTTTAGTTCTGACACTATGTACCTGGAGTTAGCGTCAGATCCCACAGGGTAAGGGCTCAGTCTCACAAGACTGCCCCCTGTCACACATACACCTCAGATACCAGTTGAAAGCCCAGGTAGTTACCTGTGCTTCTGACCAACTGGATATAAATTGGAGATTCTCACGGCCCGCTCCTTGGATTCAATTAGATTAAGTTGCTAGAGTGGCTCACAGAACTCAGAGAAACAGTTTACTTATTACATTACTGGTGTATTACAAAGGAGATAACTCAGAAACAGCCAGGTGGAAGAGGTGTAGGGGGGAAGGGGTGCAGAACTTCCACACCCTCTCAGGGCGTGACATCCTCCTAGCACCTCCACATGTTCACCAACACAAACTCCCCAAATCCTGTCCTTTTGGGTTTTTGTGGAGGCCTCCTTACTTAGACACGACTGATTAAATCATTGGTGATTAGTTCAACCTCCAGCCCCTTTCCCCTCCCCAAAGCGGGGTGGGGTGGGGTGCTGAAAGTTCCAACTCTCTGATCACATCGTTCATTACTCTGGCAACCATCCCCAACCTTAGGGGCTTTCTAAAAGTCACTGCATTAATACAAACTCGGGTATGGTTGAAATGGGCTTGTTATGAGTAAGAAAAGATACCTTATTCTCTCTCTTTATCACTTAGGAAATTACATGGTTTTAGAAGCTGTGTGCCAAAAACTGTGGATGAAGACCAAAATACATATTTCTTATTGTATCACAATGTCACAAGCTTGTTTGAGGAAAGGGGGAAAAATTAGAGAATGTAATGGAAAAAGATTCCACTTACAATAGGTTAAAAATAATAAATACCTAGAAATAATATTAATGAGAAATGTGCTTTCTTAAGATTATTCCTATGCACCTTTTGTTTTTAAAATGTGTAAAGCATATAGTCTATACTCCTTTGATAGCACTCACTACACTAGTAGTTTTTAGAATAATTTCTGTGTTTATTGCCAGGCCATAAGTAAACTCCATGAAGATAGAGACCATATTTGTTCTATTCTGTTATATTCCTAGTGCCTAACTTTTAGTTGGCCCTCAATAAGTATTTGTCAAATTGAGTTGAATATGTAACATTATTTAACAGTGATTATCTCTTCTTTTTTTACTGTGGTAAAATACACACAACATAAAATGTACCATCTTAACCATTTTAACTGTAGAGTTCAGTGGCATTAAATGCATTCATAATGCGCAAACATCACCACCATCCAGCTCCATAACTATTTACATCTTATAAAACTGAAACTCTATACCTGTTAAACAAGTCTATATTCCCTTGGCAACTACCATTCTACTTTCTGTCTGTATGATTTTGGACTAAGTATCTAAGTGGAATTATTCAGTATTTGTCTTTTTATGACTGGCTTATTTCACTTAGCATAATGTCCTCAAGGTTCGTTCATGTTGTGGCATATGTCAGAATTTCCTTCCTTTTTTAATAATCTCATTGTAAGTATATACCACATTTTGCTTATCCATTCATCCATCAATGGGCACTTGGGTTGCTTCCATGTTTTAGCTATTGTGAATAATGCTGCTGTGAACGTGGGTGTACAAACATTTCTTCAAGACTCTGCTTTCAGTTCTTTTGGGTATATACCCAGAAGTGGAATTCCTGGATGGTAATTCTATTTTTAATTTTTTGAGGAACTGCCGTACTGTTTTCCATAGTGCCTGCACAAGGGCTCCAATTTCTTCACATCCTCACTATCACTTGTTATTTTCTGCCTCTTAAATCATGTAGAAAACAAAAAATGGAGTTACAAACCACTGTTAAAATAATACTAGTTTTTATAATTGCCCATTTATTTACCTTTATTGAGATCTTTATTTCTTCATAGGACTTTGAGTTACCGTCTGGTGTCCTTTCATTTCACCCTGCAGGACTCCCGTGAACATTTCCTGCAGGACAGGTCTGGTGGTAACGAACTCCCTCAGCTTTTGTTTATCTGGGAATGTCTTAATTTCTCCCTCACATTTTTTTTTTTTTT